GATAAATGCCATAGAACCGACCATGTTGCAAAATGTCATTGAAAATTTCGACCATCGCGTGGACGTCTGTAAATCCAGTCTTGGTGAACATTTGAGCGATATTATTTTTCATACATAAATGGTATAAATGAACCTTCAAAATAAAGTACCCAACTTGATTTGAATATCAATCTTTCTTGTTTTAATATGCGTTTTTCAGGTTCCTGCTTGATATTGCTGCTTCATTGTTCACCCATTTCTTTGTATTCAATTTTTTAAAGCGTTTTAAAAGTGGAAAATTCGTGTTAAAGTGATGTAATGTTATATCAAAAAAAGTTGTGAACGCTGCATCTACACAGATTGAGTTATTATACACTTCCAACCAACTCTCAGATATTAAATTGCACAAGTTTTTAACCGCATTTTCATCGAATTTACGAGAATGATAGATTTCGTAACCTAAATCATTGTCAGGGGAGAAAATATTCAGTTCAAGGTGGTCAGATACAGTATTATCAATGTCGCAGTTTGCACCATATTCCTGAAAATTTAGAAATATCTGGTCAATGGCTGTTAATGATGATTGCGCAATTCTTGTTGGCCATTTTATTATTGGATGCAAATCAAAGTCAATGAAACGCTTAAAATCGTAATCTGGTTTGTAAAAGTCAATATTAAAATCACCACATAGTATAGTTTTAAAATCTGGTTTATATAACGAGTCCAACGCACTGTGTAGCTGATCGTAAAAAACAGATAAATTGCCACAAGGTGGACGATAACACAAGACTAAAACAGTATTATTAAAAGGAATAGCACACATTTCAATTTCCTTTTCAATACAGAATTTTGATATTTTTATTATTTTCTACTCAATGTGACTTATAGTATATTCAGATAAGAGATAGACCCGATGTAAACAAAAGGTTCGGGTGATTTTCACGCTAACGCCGCCGTTTCGACGTAAAACAGGAGCCCTCATTGGTCAATTCGCAATTAAATGCCTATGCCGAGCGGCAGCAAGGCAGAGTCACATTCAGGTTCAGACGTGTTACGTATGTCGTGTGCATCATTGCAATTTGATATTTCTTTGGACGTTTTCGTTTGTTATCTTATTAAGTTGTTGAGTTTGTCGTTGTTATTGTTATACCTTGTTATTGATTGTTATTGTTATCAACTGCTTGCGCAAAATGCCCAGTAGTACAGATACTGCCGATGAAGTTGTAAACTCCTGTAGTCCACCTAGGAAACGCTCTAAAAAAAGACACCTGAGTGCAGAAATGAAAGAGGTCATTTTGAATATATATAAGATCGAGCGCGAGGAGAACGAGGCATCAACCATCAAAGAAATTGTTGTGAAGGTTTCTCACAAAGTTGGGGTGTGTCGCGCATCAGTGTTTAATGTGTTAAGACAATACAAAAAAAATCACACCTTTTCTGAGCCAATGACCAGTAAACATCGCAAAAGTATTGTTAAATCATTGGATGAAGCTGATAAGCATGCGATTAGGAGGAAAGTGCATGAATTCTTCTTTAGGAATGAAATACCTACTATAGATAAAGTACTGCAGGAGGTAAATGGAGATACAACGTTGCCAAATTTCAAACGATCAACTTTCCATGCGTTACTGAAGCATTTAAATTTCAAATGGAAAAAACGGGGTCGTAATAGTTTACTACTGGATAGAGAAGAAATTGTGCTATGGAGGAGGGATTATTTAACAAAAATTGGGAAATATAGAAATCAAAACAGGAAGATTTATTACCTTGATGAAACGTGGGTAAACGCAGGACACACTACAAGTAAAGTATGGGTTGATGATTCTGTAACTTCATCCAGGAGGGCCTTTCTAGATGGACTGTCCACCGGATTAAAAAATCCAGCAGGTAAATACGAGTAATAGACAACAATCGGATGTTTTTCAAACCTTGGGAACAAGGTTTTAAACATTAATTCCAGGGGACAGATAAAACATATTACAAGTAACAAAACTTTTATAACTTTCGATAAAATGCGTGGATGTTTTATTGTCATTTTCATTTGTTAGAACTTTTTTAAGCCATGTTTTTATGTGTTTTCGATATTTCAATAATTTTTTAATATAATCTTAAAATATGTCGAATATTATAAACTTAAAAAAGTTACTAAGTTTTATATTGTGTACCGTTCCTAATATTTCTAATCATTTTAATTCATACTTAATATTTGCGCGTATTTCAGGTTCCTGATCATTCATTTTTTAAAGGTTTATAACTTTAAATTAAATTGTGAAGCGCTGAGTAATCATACGACGTTCAATATTCTTTCTTTCAATATGACTAAATAATCCCAATTATAGCAATCTGATACTCATGTCTCAATGTTTTTTCGCTGAATGTGATGAAAACATTTGAAAAAGGTTCGCTTATTGAAATAGATCTACACCAGTTAGTACTTCGATTTCCAGGTAAAGGGAAAAGGCTCATTATCTGCCATATTGGCAGTGAGGATGGATTTGTTGTTGACGGTCTGTGGTGCTTTGAGTCTAAGAAAACTGGAGATTACCACGAGGAAATGAATGGCGAATCGTTTGAACAGTGGTTTTTAAAAATTTTACTGAACTTAGAGGAAAACGCAGTAATTGTGTTGGATAATGCGCCTTATCATTCTCGAAGAATGGAGAAGGTCCCAACAACGGCTTCAAGGAAAGTTGATGTTCAAAATTGGCTCCGCTCGAAAAATATCAACTTTGAAGAAGCAATGCTGAAAGTACAATTATTAAGAATTGTCAAGGATCACAAGGCGGAATATCAAAAATACGCCATTGACGAAATGGCAGCAAGTCAAAAAAAACTGTGCTCCGTTTACATCCATACCATTCCGAGCTCAATCCCATTGAGCTCATATGGGCAGAGGTTAAAAATTATATAGCTAAGCACAATACAACTTTTAAATTTTGTGACCTCAAAGGACTTTTCAAAGAAGCACTAGAATTAATAACAGCGCAAAAATGGGAAAACTGTATTAAGCACGTGAAAGACAAAGTTGAAAAGAGAATGTGGGAACTGGACAATATTTTAGAGGAACAAGTTGAGCCATTCATTATTGACGTTGGTGCTTCAGGCAGTAGCGATGATGAAAGCTCATCAAGCTCATCTTTCCAATAAAAGATGTCGTTCATCAAATTCGGTAAGTTATAAGTAATTATAAAGCTACTGTATTTTTTAATTAATTATTGACATTTTTGAACCCATTTTGGCAAAACCTATTCAAGAATCTACTTTCTGACAATGTTCAACCATGCACATTTTTTTACGTTTTGAACGTTTTAATTTGGTTACATATTTACCTAGAAATCAAAAAATATACTAATCAATATTCTAAAAGCAATTTTAAGAGATATACGATTATTTTTAATTTAGGCTAATTTAAACGCCATTTTGAGATTATATTCGACTGTATTTCACCAAACATCAGGCGGCATCCGAAGCTGGAAATCGAAACGAAAATTTTGAAACCCTTATGTATATTTACATCATTATATATTTCTTACCCCACCCACACATGATCCTATATCCATCACCAATCGTATACACATCGAATTGTGCTAATTTACTACAAAGTTACGCAAAGCAGCATCTACTATCTAAAATATGTACTGCGTGACTCTTAATACGTCCCTGCCGAATGTTACAGCGTTCGATGATCACGTGGTCTTGTTTATGTCCGGTCTATCTCTTATCTGAATATACTATATATAGCTACTCCACCACCTTTAAACTGGCTTCTGCAATAACAGTCACATAAATGGAATGCCTCGATTTTGTAGCATCAGCGAAGACCTCGACCTTGTCCTCTATCCTGGAGACTATGCCCCCAGGACCGTGGATGTGCGCGGGTTGTTGTCGCTTTCCGTTTCTGAGCGACTTCGCCACTATCCAGAGACGAGTACTTGAGTCAAGCATCCCCGCCAGAAAGTCGCTCCATTGCTCATTGCGGAATTCCTGGCGAGCATTTCTTACTTCATGAACAATATTCGTCGCTCTGCGAATGTCATCAGGATGATTTTGCAAGGACCTTCTACTCTAAGTTATTCTGAATCATCCTGTATACAAACTCCTTTCTATATATATAGGAAAAAGGAGTTCTGGAGAGCCTTAAGAATATACTTGAGTTAGTATAAAACCTTCGTATCTCGTGCATACGACCCTACGCAACGGCGAATCATAAAACCGAATCCCCCCATAATGGAAACATAGTAAAATTCTCCGTTAACGTGCTTGTGAAAGCGAAAGCACCGCTTCATACACAAAAGCCAGAATGAAGCTCGAAAAAGCGTAGCTTATCGACTATCGCGTTACATCTTTTCTAAGTCATCTATTATGTATTCGTCAGAAACGTTCGATTAAGCTGTCCTGGGGGATTTTTCCGATCAGTATCGACCACCACGGCATTATCCTAAGGGAATTAACTTTAGAAAGGTTTTATTCCGATAGAGGTGAGGGTGTTACATACCGGGTTAGGTCTCTGTGTGCTCAGGGCTTCTGTTCGTCGTAATCTTGTTGCAAAACAGAGGTAATCCCCACCTACGTTCTCTTAAATTGTCAATGCTTTGGTGTAAACGATTTGATCAGCAGCGAAATCTGTTGTAACCCATACGTGTTAACTGACCTTTATGCCTTTACATTGATTATACTTTATTTTGTCGTTATTGAGCCGTATCCATAAAAGAGAAGCATATCCTCAGAAGCGTAAGGTAAAAGTGTAAGGTCTTGCTTCGGAGAAAAGGTTAGAAGTATAAGCATATTCTTATTGTCATATTCATAATGATTACCTTATACTCGCGAGGATATCCTCCAAGAAGAAGTGAAAGGTTGACTGGTATTTGTATCTTGAGCGACATGTCCTGACTTGTTCCAGCTTGTAGATGACGCGGAAGTGCGTTCCGGCGATTCAGTTGGCCGAAACAGCGTTCAATTATAAATCTTTCTTGTTTTAAAAGCTTATTATAATTTATTTCTGCACCTGGAGTAGGATTTCTGGCTCAATACCATAACCGTCATCGCCAAGTAGTACAACATTTGCTTTATTTATTAGTTGTGATCTAGTCTGTGAATTTCTCCACATTCTGGAATCATGCACTGATCCAGGCCTAGTGACATCAACATATCTCTGGCATCACAAGTGGCTCGCACATTTAAAGTAGGTTGATATACTCATCTCCTTGGCGATTTGGTTTCAGGATTCCTATACACCTTAGGAAAAACCATTGTTATACATGTGAAATCATTTCTTGGCAACAGCGGATCGGCTCGTCTACTTTCATCGCTATTCGTACATATTTCCTACCGTTAACCGCAGACCTGTATCACGAATGAGAATAATAGGCAGATACGCTGTGTTGCCAATTTGAGTAGAGCTTCCCGAATTGTGGGGAATTTAGAGTTAAGTGTTGATTCATTCAAGCTTTTAATCAGCATGGCCTAGACGTTAGAACTTCATAAAGATAACATTGAAGCTGAATGCTGCTAGAGTATAGTGTTTCGAATATTCAAAGCGGAGCGGGACACTATACTCGTTCAATGGGTCATCAAGCCACAGTCTTTTCAACAAAGAAATTATTTTACAAAAATGCGTTATATTTTTACGATTTTGTCGTCACCAAATCTCTGTTTCTCAAAATGTACGTCTATTGTAGAATTTTCAGCAAATTAAGCAAGAAACGTGATCTAGTATTTACTCAACATTACGGATTTCTCGAAATACATTAAAAAATGTGACCTAGATACCTAACTGCCCCAAGCTCTTTAAATATAACACCTTAAACCAGGGTTACCAGGTGCTCAGTCACGTTGATTGTCATGTTGTACTGCGCAAGTCAGCAAACAATCTGGCGTAATAAACGTTAGGAATCATCAGGTATTGCCAGATTCCGGAATACCGGGCACCATAGTAACCGTTATAGTTGTCCTTCAAAGTTGTCAAATCGCCCCTATGGCGCAAATTCGCCACACCAGGCAACTGTGCTATAAACAAACCCTGTTTATCACTACTATTTGATAGTCATATGGTAGTTGTAGCCCTATCTAGCGGTCCATGATTTCTCTCAATACTGTTGTATCTCTACTGGCAACAAGAATAGGGATTACAAAATCATTTATACAACAATATACAAACATGAAAAATATGATTTGAACCATGAAACATTAATACAATTTTAATAGTTTGAACTTTTTTCATGTTTGGAATACTCTTATGTGGAATCCGCAGCTATTTTTCCCGAAATTTGGGTAGACTTGGATTTCTTAGAAATATGACATATTGGTATCGGCAACTCTGCGAATGGGAGAAACAAATCGCATTTGTTGAGCGCTTCCGTCTAAGCGGTAGGCGCCAGCGCCCGTTCTGCCATCTCTCTCTTTTATCACTCTTCTACTTTACCCCGTTGTCCGTCACACTCCGACGCTGCCACATAGGATCCTACAATCGAGTGTCTTCCTCATCATAATGTATAATAATGTTTTTTCCCAAGGTGTATGTGTACAATCAAGTACACCAATTGCTGTCAGAAATTCATACATGCTTTGTCATGTGCGATTGGCCTCCATCAGTTCATGGTTGGTAGTTGGGAACTTGATCCATTCGTTCGACTGTGCAACTATGCTGTTCACGACTCTATCCACAGTCCGAGATACCGTTGTTTGACTAACACCAAGTTCCTGACCAATACCTTGTTGATAGCCAGGGTCACCGAGATAGCGTAGACATATCTTCATTTTATGAATACATGAAAGTGCTCCTCCTCGAGTTTCCTCATTCTCAGTTAAAAATCTGTCCGCAAGCCATTGTACATTTGCTTCGTCGAACCGATATAATTTTTTGAAGTCACGCCCAAGTTGAGTCTGCTACCGAAAACACTCAGAATTTTTTTTGAAGAATATGCTCCCTATGCCATGTATAAGGTGAAGATTCTGAATATCCTTTTATTTATGTCACTGCTTTGAAGGATATGCTTATACTCAAAAAGCAAAAGCAATTACTTCACATTATTAAAAATACCATCTGGGGGATTTCCTTCAAAATTTGCAAGTACAAAGATAACCTTTGTTTTATGAATACGACTCATTGTATACCAGTATTAATTTTCAAAAAAATTTCGGTTTATATACATTTTGATTGTTAAGGCGGTTAGGTGATAGATATAAATGTCGCCCAAAAACGAACAATTATTGCCCCTAGCTCTGCCGCTACTAGACCGATTTTCAACAACTACAAAGATTTTTCATCCTTGGCATAGTAGTAGCTTTGTGTGAAAATTTCATCAAAATCCGAGCGATGCTCCACAAGTTATAGACGGTTATAAAATTAGCGGACCGGCAGACAGATAGAATGACGGATATGAGAATAACACCTCGTTTTCGAAAACTTTCGTGGTATAATCTGGCCTCAGGTTATCAGGTATCTTCGCATGCAATTTTTGTTGATAAAAAGTGTTATTTCAGAAAAAAGTCTGTTTACGCTGTATGTCTTAGAAACGTCCTATATACAGGGTTATCCAAATTAAGTGTCCACCATTGGTAACTTTGTTATTAGTAAAAATACAAAGTTGTTTAAATTAGCAAACTAGTAGCATTTTTAACGCTGGTAAAAATGAGAAATAAAAAGAAAACAATTGAGAGTCGTTATTTTGATTTTTTTCAGTAAAATAACATTTTTTTAAATGGAAACCCCTGTATATTATATTTTTTTCTGTTAAAGCATCAAATTTTAAACAAAAAAGTTCATAATGACTTTTCCGCTAAAGTCAAAAATAAAGTCAAAATAACGATAAATATTTTTAATTATTTGCAGTATTATAATATTAAGACGGCTATGAAAACAACATGGCGTTCGCGATTTGACAGCATTAAGATAAGCGACAAATTGTTAAACTGGACATACTCGCAACTAGAAGGCTTTGGAAAACAATGATAAAATCAAATAATGTCAAACATTAGTGTAAATACTTGTTTATAAGCTTTATTGTGTCATTAATTTAAAGAAAAATGTTCTCCCATGAAGAAAAGTGTGATATGTTAGAATGCTATTTAGTGTGCAGAAAATCCTCCTTGAGAGCAAGAGAATACTACAGTGAATTATATCCCGCTCGCATTCAACCGTATGAACGATATTTTCTGAGACTTTATCGAAAATTTAGGGGCAACGAAAATGTTTTTGCTAAAACAAGGGCAAAAAAAGAATTCATAATAAGCGAGGCCACGGAAATTGCAGTTATTGGATATTTTGAAGCTTATCGTGAGAATTCAATAGCAGATATTCTCAAGGACTCTAATTTCAGTTATGGTACTGTTCAAAGGATTTTAAAAAAATACAAATTTATTCCGTATAAGTACCGACCAGTTCAAACGCTTTTGGCAGGGAATCCAGAGAGAAGACTTGTTTTTTGCCATTGGTATCTTAGCTTCTGTCGCCAAAATGTAAATAACTTTCGTTACCTTTTATGGACAGATGAATCAAATTTTTCAAATTCTGGAATGTTTAATAGAAAAAACCACCATTATTGGTCAAGAGAAAATCTTTTGTTAGTACATCCAAGAGGCCCACAAGTCCGTTTCAGTTTCAACGTTTGGTGCGGTATAATTGGTTGAAAAATTGTTGGCCCGTTCTTTCATGAGGGAACCCTAACTGGTGAAAGATATGTGGAATTTATGTCAGAAATTCTGACTAATTTCTTAGACGAATTGGATCTTATAAGTAGACATCATCTGCATTTTCAGCAAGATGGCGCACCTGCCCACAACTCCAGAGGTACTTATCATTTTCTAAGTACTACTTTTAATGATCAGTGGATAGGAACAAATGGCCCAATACAGTGGCCTGCCAGATCACCAGATCTAAACCCACTTGATTACTTCTTGTGGGGTTACTTAAAGAACCAAATTTACAAGCGAAGGTACGATAACCTTGACGCGTTAAAGACTGCAGTTAGGGAAAAGATAACCCAGATAGATGGTAGGACCATACTTAAGACAGTTCGAGCAGTTGAAAAACGTGCCCAAAAATGTATTGAAGAACAAGGTGGTGTTTTCGAGCATCTTCTTTAAAAAAATTGTTATTGTATTTTGTAAGATTATAAGTTGATGTTGAAAATAAAGTTTGTCGATACAATTTAATTGTTTCAGATTGGAGGCCATAACTTCAACAATTTGTAACCTAGGAGAAAAGTTATTGTAAGCTTTTTTGTTTAAAATTTGATGCTTTAACAGAAAAAAATATAATATATAGGGGTTTCCATTTAAAAAAATGTTATTTTACTGAAAAAAATCAAAATAACGACTCTCAATTGTTTTTTTTTTATTTCTCATTTTTACCAGCGTTAAAAATGCTACTAGTTTGCTAATTCAAACAACTTTGTATTTTCACTAATAACAAAGTTACTAATGGTGGACACTTAATTTGGATAACCCTGTATACTAAGTGACATATAAATCCGAACACCCAGTTTAAATGGTTTTATTTTATTAAAATTTTGTATAAGTACTTAATGAAGCATAATAAGTAAATGATAAAAATTTCAAAATGATTGCACTGCTTTAAAGCTCTTTGACCTTTAATAATGTGTGGATGCACCCTGATGTGCTACGCATTCTCCAACGCGCCTAGACATGCTTCTGATCAGGTGGTCAATGTCCTCCTGTGGTATCTCATTCCAGGCAACCACCAACTCCTCTCGAAGTGCTTCTAGAGTCTGAGGAGGACGTTGCAAATTGAGCAATCTCCTACCCATCATATCCCACACGTGCTAAGTCGGGAGATCTTGGTGGTCATGGTAACAATGTGACATCATTATGTTGAAAGAGGTCTATTGTGACTCTTGCAACATGTGGTCGGGCATTATCTTGTTGGAAAGTTGGATCTGCCAGGGTGTCAAGATAGGGTAAAACATGGGTTTCTAGAACTTCGTGGATATAACGCTGCGCGTTCATGTTACCTCTGATGAAGATTAAAGGTGACCTGGAACCATAAGCTATAGCACCCCAAACCATAACTCTAACAGTGTGATGAACATGTCTTTCAACAAAAAACTGAGGATTCCTCCTTCCACCGTCGCCTTCTAACCCTGGCAGGACCATCGTGCATGCCTAAATAAAATCGAGACTCGTCACTAAAGACAATACTGTTCCATTCCTGAACCCAGAGTGACCGTTGTCTGCACCACTCAAGGCGATTACGTCGGTGTTCTCGAGTTAAAGGGAGGACCCAGTGTGGCCGGTATGAAAACAAGCCAAAACTTCTCATTCGTCGGTAAACACTTCGCATGCCAATAGGTCTTCCGTGTTCTGCAAACCATTCATTTGCAATGGACCTGGTAGTGGAGAAACGGTCCCTTAAGGCCAATAATCTTAGGCGGCGATCTTCACGGTCTGTTGTTCTACGGCGGCGTCCAGTGCCCCTTGCTCTTTACGTACGGCCTTCTCGAAGCCATGCCTGACAACACCTAACCACAGTGTCTACACTTCTTTGCACTCTAACTGCAATTGCCCGAAAAGAAAATCCAGCTTCCCGAAGTCCCACTATACGGCCCCTATCAAACTCACTAAGTTGACGAAATCGTACAGGTCTCCGTACTCTAGGCATCGTAACCGATCGTAAAGTCAAGAATCCGCCAACGTTGATTCTTTACTGCGGCTGAAATATTCATTTTTAGAGCGTTAGTGAATTAAAAAAAAAGCAGTATAAAAACCGGAATGCCAACTGATAAGGCTGAACATTTTTTAACTTGTTATTTACAGTAAGATAAATACATTCACCGACTTTTATTAAAATAAAACCATTTAAACTGGATGTTCGGATTTATATGTCACTTAGTATACAAGCACAAATCTCATCAGCACTCGAGGAAGTTTCAATCAACACAACTCGTTACAAAACACCATTGTTCGCTAGGTAATAAACGTGCTGGTGTATCAATTAGCAGATTAAATGCCCCGGGAACCATAACTCATGGTGAGTTGTTGTTTATAAAGTCATCATCCGCCGATTCTCATCCTGAAGCTAATCGCCCCGTAGGAGAAGGCTTTCCGGCACGTCAGATGTATCTTGATTTATCATCCGTGCTAGCGTGATATTGACTTTGTGCTGCTGTTTGTGACTGCTAATCGATACCTTGCGAAGCTTCAGCTCGGATCATGGTCTTTGAAGCTGGCGGTGAAGCTGCTCGCGCCTTGCCAGCGTGACACGTCAGAGATTATCAGACCTTTTTTTATCGTTTTGCATAATCGATTAACTGCTGTCTATACGATTCTACCTTATTGAGCTGAAATAAATTACGTAAGTAATTTCAGGATTGTGAATGTGATAAATTCCGTACAAAATTGGGGATAGAGTCAGACAGTATTTAGCACATAATTTTGTATGAACAAATTTAGTGCTAAAAAATTGCATTTTTCTACATTTTCATGACTCTCCTCTCATAATATGGTCGGTTCTATGGCATTTATCTCGGCAATGATGTTGTTTTTGAGTTCTTGGAGGGTGGCTGGTTTGTTGACGTAGACTTTGCTTTTCAAATATCCCCATAAAAAGAAATCCAAGGGAGTCAAATCGCATGATCTTGGTGGCCATGGCATATTTCCTCTGCGCGAAATCACCGAAGAAGGACTGCAATCGATGGATATTGACGTTGGTTGTGTGGCATGTTGCACCGTCTTGTTGGAAATAAACATCGTCCATATCCATTCCTTCAAGTTGCGGCAAAAAATAGTCCTCTATCATCACGTGATATCGC